AGCTTAAGGTGCATTTCCGCCACCTACTGGGATGGAGTGTGAGGCCTCGATGAACGAACATATTATATACTAATATAAAAATTAAAAAAAAACTAAATTCTTCTAATCAAATCTGTAGATGCTGAACTATATACTATGCTGCCATAATCAATCATAGGTCTAATCATTGCACAATATACTCATTTAAATGCCTGTCGGGTTGCACCCGTATTAATCAAAAAATCCATAATCCAATTGTACATTTTTCCTTTTATTCCCATCTTGTCCAATTTAACTAAAAGTCCCTCTTTCCACAGCATATCGCAGGCTTTTTCCACATCAAAAAAACACACCAACACCTCCTTATTTCTACTAGCAGGTCTTCTCTATCAGTTTTTGTCGACAATATACTTTTAAGAGCTGATGAAGAATTTGAGCAAATTACAGTCGGATTCCTATTTGGCTTAATCTGTTCTACCCACTGCACTCCTATTATTATAGCAGTTAATTCTGTAGAATATACGGACAATTTGTCACTTAACCTTAAACTTATTTTTGTCTTAAATCTTGGAATGTACACTCCTATGCCCACTTTTTGTTTGATTGGGTCTTTAGATCCATCTGTATAGATCTGTATAAAAGAATAAAAATTTTCTCTCATAAAAACATTGATTTCATAACTATTAGTATATCTTTCTTCTGCTTTTTCCCGGGCCTCCAACAATCTCATTTCAACAATGGGTTCAGGAATATTCCATACCGATACCCCATTTAATGGCATGTTGGGACAGATTTCTTCATTCTCCAGCCCACAATCCTTGACCCACTGTATGTCTTGCGTCTCAGGTCTCTTCTTCTTCCGTTTTTTGGCATGTTACATCCGGTGTGCATATCGCCACCTACTGTTATGCTGTCATGGTTTAGTTATAATCAATTTCTTACTTGTTTTTGCTCTTCCTGTTCTTACACACGTATATACACAAATATTCATACTTAAATAATTATTCGATGCTCCATCCCATTCCTTCTCCCCAGGCTCCACCTGGCGCTGCGTGGGATGTCTGTTTCATCCACTTATTTGAAATTTGAAACTTGTGTAACACCACACAGACATCATTGTTAGAAATACGTTGGAGCTAAACTCTGCAGGACACCAGCCCTCCAGGACCGAGTTTGGACAGCCCTGGAATAGAGCATCCGCAGTCTACATTTAAATCCTTTCACTTAACCCAGTAGTATATATGTATTTTATTAATATCCTGTATCCTTCTCTATCTCTGTTAAACTCATATCCTAATAAGTATTCCAAATCCTTATTTACCTTACATTTTTTGTTTAAATATGATATGAATTCCTTTCTTTCTTCATCATACCTTGTACAATTATTAACGTTACATGCTCCACTGTTTCTTTCTCCCCACAATTCCCACATAGACCAGTCTCATGTATTCCAGTTATGAACAGTGAAGCGTTCAATCCCGAGTGTCCAAGTCTCATCCTAGTTATTATAACCTCTTCTTTTCTATTTCTACCACTTACACTTCTTTTAGTATTAACCATTTTCTCAGGTCTCTTCCTCTGCTGGACGGCTCAAGTAGGGACGGCTGGCCGGAGTTTTCAACACTCACTACTGCCCCCTTCAAGTCAAACTCAGAATAACAATTTACTTAATTTTATTACAAAAACAAAAACTGTTGAAAATGTACCCATGCATGGACTCTTTACAGAAATGCGGTGTGCTGAACCCCGAGTAAACCTAACAGACAGACTGGCAGAGGAGTGAACTCTCGCGTTCACTGGATCTGATCTCTGCGCTGCCGGAAGCGGAAGTGTGTGTGTGTGTGTTCAGTAAACGTAACGTTCTGCTAGCTTCACGAACCACTACGCAAATTCTGCAGCCAGTTGTCGCTTAATTTTGCAAACCTCTGAGGTGCAACAGTTTCAGCCGGCAAGATGTTTAACAGAATGACAAGTTTATGGATGGGTGATGTAAGTATTGTGTTTTTGTTTACTTTTCTTCGAGTTTGTAGAAAGCAGCAGCATGTGGGTTTAGCTCGATGTTACGCAAGCATGGCCAACAGGCCACTCAAACGCTCACTAAACTGGAGAAAAAATGCTGAATGTACACCGAATTAAAGTGCTTATTAAGCGAATTAAATGCTTTAGCACATTTGTAAATATGGCGGTAATTAATCCGTGGTTTGTATTTTCTCAGCAGGCCTCTCATATTTGCATAAGCGTTTTTATGTCGTAGACTCGTAGTGTAAATAATGAAACAAACTACATGTCCGGGTTATGATTTCGAGTTGATTCAGTAATTATACAACAAGGTGTAATTCACAAAAACTGTACGTTAAGTCAACTTATCTACGTCACCGACAGAACTTCTCTGCTTCCCTATGTAAATCATTAACACGGTTAAAAAAATCATTCACATGGTTGGTGTGTGTTTAAAATATGCTGACAGGCCATTAATCGCATTATTTGTTTTACAGTTAGACCCATACATGGATGAAAACTTCATTAAGCAAGCTTTCAGCACTATGGGAGAGACTGCCTACGGTGTCAAAATAATTACACATCGAGTTACCGGGTAAGATTACGTCTCTAAATAAAGTGCAACAGTTGGGTTCCTGAAGTAAAAAGCCCATCAAGCAGGAAATATGTTTTTAATGATAACCTTTAAAGACAGACCTGCCATGAGGTTGTTAATTGATGGTACATGCTTTTGTTGAAGCCATCAGCCCCCATTATTTAAATATATATTTTTAAATAATTGTTTTTAACAGAATTCCATTTAAAAACTACATTGCCCATAATTCTGCAAAGAAATCTTCAAGAATCAGAATCGCAACAAGCAAACCATGCCAAAAAAAAAAACCCTTAGTGCCTATCCACTCCTATAAAGCACTGAGTTTTTTTTTTAACTAAACAAAGTATATTGTTTCTCTATATAATCAACATCTTTAAATCAATTCTTTTATATTTCTCTATAGGTTTTAATTTCATTGTCTTTCGCAATGCTTCATGGCATTGTAGATTTTCCCCTCATCGAAGCCGTTTTGTCTTTTTCCCTGATTTTCAAATATAATGTTTTGCTTCAAATCAAAGTTTGCCATGTATTCATCTCATAGCTGGTTGGTTTTGGTTCATGACTTATAACTCCTAAACAAAGACTTAAAAAAAGTCCTTATGTAAAAACATGTCAAACTAGTATCTAGGCAACTTTTTCGGTCTACAGCTTATTTCTTTGTTAATAATATCCAGACTCACTGAAAATATGTATGTTATTATATTACTTGGCTTATTTGCCTTTGAGATGAGCCAGATTTGGTCTTTTGTGTATGTTTGTTGACAGAAATCATTGAATATTGTCTTGTGTGTTTCCTCAGAGGCTCGGCTGGATACTGTTTTGTAGAGCTAGCAGATGAGGCCGGTGTTGACCGTTGTGTGCAGAGGCTTAATGGGAAGCTGGTTCCAGGATCGAATCCGGTAAGATGCCAAACTTTCACTCATTAGATTGTGTAGTTTTGGCATCTATATTTGATTTCAATGCATTCATATATGTAGATTATTATAGGAAGGCATAACCAGCATGGCCCCCACCTGATATGAGACATTTGAATTATTACTCCATATATTACTAGTGATGGGTGAGTTACAGAGCTCAATTTCTTCCCTAAGGAAGGTGGTTGAGGCTGTTTTTAAAATGACTTTGTTTGAAGCTGGTGAATAAACTCTGTTAGGAACTAGCTGACGAATGGGATAAAGCCAGTACTGATTGGTGGAGGTATGTGGAAATAATAGCTTCCTTACTCAAATAATATAACTCTATTTGTCAGCGAATTGTCTCCATACTACAGGCAAAGTGTCATTTGATTTGCTCAATGGTTGTATTTTGTTTGCATTTCAGCCCAGGAAATTCAAGCTAAACTATGCAACATATGGGAAAAGGCCAGAGCCTGGGTAAGCACACCATGTACAGAAAAAAAAAAAAACATTTTAGTTGCTGATCTCTTGTTGAGGAACAAAAAAAAAAGTAGCAGCTGCATTTTTGTTGTTAAATATTACATTTTACAAACTGTGGAGGCTTCTTTCAATTTACATCACTTCATCACGTTCACTTTCTTCCTCAGCCCAGAATTTTCGGTCTTTGTTGGAGATCTCACATCAGAAGTGGATGACTACCAGCTTCATCAGTTCTTTCTGAAAAAATTCCCTTCATGCAAAGGAGCCAAAGTTGTCACTGATCCCTATGGGAACTCCAGGTATGAAATGTTTCAGCCGCCAACTCTGTACTGCATAACCAATCTTGGCTTTCTCTGACAGTTTGACCTACTGATGTTGACCAAAGATGAGGTAGTTGAACTAGATGAGGTCTCCTTTACCTTTTATTTTGTATTTTTTAAAAGCTTATTTTCAGTCGATACTCTTTACCCTCCCTCTCCTAAAAAGGGCCAGACAATACATGGATGTGATTTGACAAATCTGCTAAAACTATTGTTTTCCCCATATAGGGTAAGCGAGAGCAACTCACAATTGAAGTGATGCTACTTCATGTTAAAAGTAAAAGAGAAGTTTCAGTTCTACCATCAAATTAATTATTACTTTCTGAATACATATTGAAATATGGATATACTGCATGATGAGGCACATGAAGCGTGAGGGAGCGGGTGCTGATGATCTAGTTTTTTCACATGCACAGGGGTTATGGCTTTGTGAAGTTTAGCGACGAGAATGAACAGAAGAAAGCCCTCGAGGAGTTTCAGAATGCATCAGGCCTGGGAGGAAAACCCATCAGGATAAGCATTGCTGTCAACAAAGGGTACATTTCATTAGAATGTTTTGTCATTGTTATTTAAGTTTTATGTGGTCAGTGAGACTTAATCCTGATATTTAAACTAACTTCACAAATCCACATGAAATCTCACCATATTCTTTCTTTTTTTCATTTTAGCAATAAACCAAGCAGTTACCACAACCAGAATAACAGCTACAACACCAACTATCAACAGCAGTACTATCAACAGCCTTACAACAATTACTATCCACAGTGGGGTTATGATCAGTACAGCGGTTATAACTATGGCTACAACCCATATGCTACCCCACCTCCAGTTCCACACGGGATGATGGGACCACCCCCACCCATGGGGATGCCCCCCATGCCCTTTGACATGCAGGGATCCACAGAGGTATTTTTAATAGTGATTGATGAAGATGAATGTTTTTTTTTTTATATAAATTCAATCCATTTCTGTTCTGCAATTGACCGGTTTTTTTTGTATTGCTTCAGCAGTCACATGATGGCACAGAGGATGCTGAGGAGGACCCTGCTGAAGGTAATATTTCGTAACATTTAATTTGGCTGTTTAATTGACCAAATTGTTGATTAGAGCAAGATCACACATTATTAATTACTCACTATCTTTCTTCTCCCTCAGACCCAAACCCACAGGTGGATGTGGAGGCATTAAATAAGCAATTCATGGAGCGCAGTGAGGAGCTCTACGATTCGCTCATGGATTGCCTCTGGCAGCCATTGGACAGTGTCACATCTGAAATTCCTATGATGAACGGTTCGTGACTGTCTGAACCAACCACCGTTCGGGATTATTGTACTTTGTGAAGGAACATGCCTTTTTATATTGCTCTGAGCGAGTTTTTCAGAGATTGTTTTTCTCCTTTTCAGCCTTTTATTTGGAGCTTCATTCGAGCAGGCAAGAAGTTTTCTTCATGTGTCACCTTTTTTCTTTTTTCAAAGTTAGGTAGTTATGGTTTTGTTGCACAGTTTTTTTTTTTTTTTTTAAAGATGGATGGAAAGAATCTTTTTCAGTACTATTGTCATTTTTAACCAGGAGCTATTCCTATTCTTGCCTTGTTAAACTTTTTCATTAGAAATTTGAAGCATGCTTTTTTTGTGGTCTTGTGTGGTCCAAATAAGCATCTCTTATATACACCCCCTTTTTTGTCTGTTGTGAGGCCACTGATGGTTTTTCATTTGTGAAAGCTTTGTTCAAGAGATGGCTCATGTTTAGAGATTTTTGCAAAATGAGACAACTGCATAAAAATGTATACCACACTGACCCAGAATTAATTTTCTCTGTCTTTAAATTACATATGCATTTGGGCATAAATGAAGCGCAAGTTTATTATTTAAGGCTGAGCTTTCCAGAAATTCTGTGAATATTTTTTGTAATAAAAAACAAATTGAGATTGTCAAGGAAGAATCTAATAAATCAATATGTCTCTTTTGTGTCTGCATTTATTCTGTAATCATGGTTTTATGTGTGAAACCAGTTCTGTATTAGTGTTCAAACTATTGCCAAATATATTTAAACTCGAACCTGATTAATTTTTAAATCATTAAACATACAGTTCACCCTAAAATGGAAATTCTGTCACCGCTTACTCAACCACATGTTGTTCCAAACCTGTATAGCATCCTTGCCTCTATGGAACACAGAAGAAGATATTTAGAAAGTCGGTAATATCCAAACAGTGAAAATCTTAGTCATACAGGTTTGAAGGAAATTTTTAGGTGAAGTACCTTCTTGACCATGTTATTCAATTTGAGAGAGGATTTAGTAAGCACGCATTAATAAAATATATAAAGACCAGCAATTTTGATAAAGAATTTATCAAATATACATTCATCTTGTATTGGTAGCGATTTGGCAGGATATTCTGCGGTTTTCACTGGTATACTGCAGCACCGCTATGTATAGTTAGTCCAAATTGTACCAAGCAAATTGCTCAAGCCTTCTCTAGTTGATCTCTTTAGCATTACTTTCACACAGTGTATCAGATGTCTCTTCCTGTTTGCTCTGTGTAGACAAAAGTCCCACCCCTGGCCTCCCAGGGCAGTACCAACTAGGTCCATGTCGGTACCAGCCCTGATACAACGCTCTCCAGCTCAAACAACCCAGGGCACCTCCCAAAAGCTGAGTAGGAAACTGTGGGAAGTAAGCCAGCAGGCAGAGCAGCAGGAACACCCAGAGACTCAACAGCAGGACGCAGAACAGGAAGAGGATGCGCAGCGGGGCTCCAGAGGGTCCACCCAGGCTCAGGTAGGGCCCAAACACTGCAGTCTCCTCAGCTAGAAGCAGGCAGCACAAACACAGTAGGAGGGCATCTTCAGATACTTCATAGCCACGCCACAACATGCCAGAGCGGACACAGGCCTCCTTTGTTTCACCTTCTCGTAAAAGCAGTAAAGGTTGATCTCCATTGGTCCCTGAAGCCAACTCAAGAGTGGAGCTGAGGGGCTCATAGCAGCTCCCGGTGGCATTTTCCAACAGACAAAGCAGTTTGCGGAAGCCCAGCCACAGTCCACCTGCCACAGCTAGCCGAGAAAGGTGTCGCAGGGAAAGTGTGAGAGAGCGACGAACTGAGAAAGACAGGACGAAGACAAAAGAGCCAACAAAGATGCAGGTCCAGCCCCAACCTGAGCGCAGGAACACCCTAAAAATGAATGGTTTATTGTATTAATATAGAGAACAGTGTATCCTATATATGTTTTGCACTCAATTGTAAGAATAAGGTCGCTGCATACAAATATGCATATTTTCCTTACTATATAGAGGCGAAAACCAGTATGTGAAAAAGTAGTATTTCCAATTTTACAGTATTCATAATAAACAGGAAGCGAAAAGTATCCGGTTGACCTACATCTGGTGAGATTCTGAAGTGCACAACCAATGGACACTTTATTATTCCATTAGGTCAAGGCAGATGATTTGTAAATCACATGACAATGAAAACATGACGATTGTACGTCTGGATTACATTCATACTACCGGCGTCAATCATTTATATTTATCATACTATATAGAATATACTTTTTATTTTTTATCATACTATATAGAATATACTTAATGGTAAATAAGTAATTACTCAAAATTACTCACACGCAGCCTGTAAATTCAGACATAATACTCTTTTCAAATACTGTTTTTTTTGCCTATTTTCAGCCACAATCTTCATGAGTGAGTCATTGTATCATTCACTCAACTGATTATTTCAAAAACTCTGATTTATTCAGGAAAGCTATAGACCTTAATCAGGTTAGACTGTATTTTGAATTTAATGCGGAGGAAAATAAAACTGAGGGATAGACTTATAGTGTTTACAATGACATGCACTGTATACAAAGGCCTTAGATCTTTACTCTTTACAACTCATCATTTTCAAAAAGTGTTGGTCTACTAAAAGTTTATTCTGGAAAGACGTTTTGTCAGCTGAACAATTGATATGTTGTTAAACAATAGTACAATCCACTGAATGCACTGTACGCCTATCCCTCACAGCCTTGTTTTCATTTTTGTCAAAAATTAAATAAGGTGTTATCCTGACTAAGTCTGTATTGTGAGATGTGAAGATTTGATTCTGCTTTGATTTTGTTAGATTTTTTTTTTGTGTGTCTAAAATGTAAATTATTCAGTATTAACTTATTGGACTGTTGTATAAAGCACTGTCACACTCACTGCTGTTGTGATTACCTGCAAAATAGCAGCACTGGTGTGGTATTACTTAATTGAATATTCAATTGCACAGATATGATTCTTTTGTGTCTTACCTGTAGAGAAAGTGAGTCCTCTTTGCAAAGACACTATAATGGGAAACCCATAGGCTCAGGAGCGGCCCAAATAAAAGCAATGATGACAGCAACAAATGAAAATGACGTCGAAATGATGCGTTGCCAAGAAGTCCAGCTGCCAGGTCAGTAATGACCACAAGGATAGAGTTTAGAAACATTTGTATCGTTTCCTTAACTGTACCAGCAAATTACAGATAATATGGATTGGTTGTTGTTAAAGTCCAATCTCTTTCAGAATCCAACAAAACCTCCTCAGGGACTGCTGCAGTGTGTTGGTGTTGTAAAATTCTCCTGATGTAAATGATAAAAAAAATTCACAATTGATGTAAGCTTGTCCAATGACCCATGCAAGTGTGTTTTTCAGTTAACTGATTGAAAAAGGGTGTTCTCATTCACTGGAATCACTTTTCTGGCAATGTATGTTGTAGATATGCTTCTGTAATTACAGTCACATATATTGTTGCATTTAATCCAGGTATAAAAATGTAATGTGCTACTTTAGTAGTTTCTTTTTCTTACACTCTGTGTCCTTCAAGAGATTTTCACGGCCTAGCTCTCCTCTGATCTGTATCTTTCCGGGATCTGCACTCCCCCTTTATGTTCTCGCAGCCAAAAACTTAAGTTTATTCCTTGCATCCAAGATAAAGAAAATCCTGTTCATTCCTGATTTCCATGTTCTTTGTATCCGTGGGTCTCTTTCATTTCTCTAGCAGCACAACTGCTCTAACAGAGGGTCTCTTGGACCTTTCACATGGCCCACACCCTCCCCACCCCCTCAGAATAGAAAAAGAAATGTTGTCGCCTTCTGCATGTTGGTGTTGGCGGGTGTCATGTTGCAATTAGAGAGTTCTGTGTGAAAACAATAACTGTATTGTCGTTGATGGACCAAATTATCACTGTTCAAAAAACTGGACAAAACTGACAAGTGCATAAATGTTCACAACAGCTAATATGAATTCCATTAACTCTTAAACCTCTAGATAATGACACATTTTGGTTCTCTTTTCAGTGGATGAGCAGAAAGCACTGCTCGTAAAATGTCAGTGGTTCACTGCTGTATAAACGTCACTAAATACTGTGTACAGTTACTGGGGTGCTTTTCAATTCA